TTACTGATTATAATGACTTATACTGTCTTTTTACGCATTGCATTGCATCGCGCCACGTAAACATAAAACCATGTCTGCATTTGTGATCGGAGAAACGACAAACAACAAGCGCTAGTCTACACTGCTCAAAACTCGCGTTTGAATCGTCAGTGGCAAATCCTTTAAATATGAAAACGTACTTACAGGCTGCGAGTCAGCATCATTTGTCAGCATTATAGACTGTATAGGGTCAGCATGCGCGCCGTAGGGGAAACAGGGGAACTGAATTCACCGGAACACCGGCATTGTAGTCTACTCTCCCAGGAAACAGTCCTCGTCCTCCGTAAAATGCGTTGCACACATCTGAATATTTGGTTTGAACTGTTCTGGAACAGTGTTGTAAATACAACTTAACCACTGATTTCTAGTTGTGTACTCTTTTGGAAGGCCAAACAAAGTAGTTTCGCTTTCGCAACGAAACACACAGCGTCTCCACGACATGGCGGTGGCGGTAACAATACTACAGCGAGAATCAAAGTTACACCTTCTTTCTTTGCGTGAACATTTGGGCGGTGTTATGCAAATCTTCCCACACAGTGACGTAGAGTTTAAACGAGGCATTTTAGGAGGGCGTGGACGAGTCTTAACTTTTATAAAGAATATCTCTTTGGGTTTGAGACTTAAGTCTTTGCAACTTCAGGGATCTTATCTATTCACAATCAGCTTGTAACACTCCAAAGAGAAAGGAAAACTTGAAATCGCATCATATGACCCCTTTAAAATAGTTGGTGTTATTTGCAGGGCCATACGTAAGGACTTCATACTCTCAAAGTATATGGAATGGCAGTTTGCACAACATAGTGGCGGCTCACTGGAAATAAAACGCAAATATCTGCAGGACGCTGTGCGCAGTCGGGATGTTTTTAGCCTCTTGCAGCTCTACGCTGAGAGAATGGACTTCAGCCTGCCACTGCCATGCCCCCTACAGGTTAGTGTGGAGGAAATGTTATTTTCTGTATTATTTGCTTCACTGTACTAAAGAGTGTTCTTTAGACTGTCTCTGAGTGCTTCAGTATGCTTGAGTTTTTGATGAAGGCTGAGAGGGAATAGGGAATCTATTTGATGTGTGTGTGCAAGAAAAGTGTGAGACAGAAATGTTATTTTAGTTTCTTAGACTTCCTGGTTACTTAGAAATTGATTTGCATTAAATTCTGACATAGTTGGGCACCTTACATGGACATATATGTTGAATATGCATTATGATTGGATGAGATCAAAGCATCCACATTTGATGAAGGTATAAATGTTGAGTTTGGGTGTTGCCTCTTGGTCACACTCTGCAGCCAATCTGTATGACTGTTGACCTTTCTTGCAAGAAAATAAATCATCAAAAGACTTTTGTCTCATACCTTTATTGAAATTGCCATAACAGTCAGCAAAACATGTTATACTTAAATTTGCTGCTTAAAAGGATATTCCACTTAAAAATGATCATCTGTCATCATTTAATGTACTCAGTACCGTTCCAAACCTGTATGACTTACAGGTTTGATTTTCTTATCAAATAAAATATTTTGAAGAATGTTGGTAACCAAACAGTTCTGTTCCCATCGACTTCCATTGTATTTTCGTCCATACAAGGGAAGTCAATGGGAACCGAAACTGTTTAATTACTAACATTCTTCAAAATATCTTTTTACATTCCTCAAAAGAAAAAAAATCATTCACGGTTGGAACGACATGAGGGTGAGTAAACGATAACAGAATTTAAATTTTTAGGTGGACTATCCCATACATGTGGACAGTACATAAATATTATACCTACTTGTATATCTCAGGTCTTCTCTTTCTATTAACTTAATTGCATATTTTGTTTTGATAGGAAAAGGGGGAAACTGCATTACACCTAGCCGTCCTGTTGTCTGACAGGACATCGCTCCATGTGGCTGATTTCCTGTTCCACAACTGGTCAGTTAGAAATAATGGCATTGTTATTCTGAAAGTGGCCTTGAACAGATTCAGATATGGATTATCTTCATCATAACTGCCTTTCCTTCTTGTCTTCCGTTTCAGTAATAATCTGGATGCTCAGAATGTGAAGGGGAACACTGCTTTGCATTACTGCTGTCAGCACAACAAAACCGAGTGCCTTAAACTTCTGCTCAGAGCCAAGGCCAACACACATATCAGTGAGTGGGACCCTCAAATCCTAAAACCACAAAGACATTTTTGCATTGAGCTGTTTCATGCTCGATAATGTGTTTGTTTATTTATTAGTCAAGTTCATAATTTTAAGTGGTCTCTGTTGTAATAGGAAAAGGTTTTGAACATCAAAAATTTTACACACTTCAGCTTTAACATTTATTGATGATGTATAGGGGTTTTTCAGCATCATATCAGTCATTGTTAAAGGAATGAGGCTCATGTTCTTCTGATGGCTGGTTTGGCTGTTGGCTCATTCGTCAGGAGTTAATTACAGACCAGGATGATTGTTGTGCTGATGATAATGTTCTGTGATAGAGAATGATGATGGAGAGACGGGGCTGGACATGGCTCGCAGACTGAAGCACATGCTGTGTGAGGAGCTGGTGAGTCAAAGAGCTTTTCAGCAGTAACTTGTTAAAGTGAGTCTTTATTAATAGGATATTCATGTGGGTGTAACCTGTATATTTCAAAAGTGCTGTACACTTCCGTTATCATGGTCATGGTCTTTTCTGTAAGCTGGGTTCCCACACCTTTTGGCCAATGTATTTCAATAGCTTTTCAGATGCTTGTGATTAATGGATAAGGATTTCTTTTAAAGTCATTCACAAAGTGATAGCATGACTGAAATATTGTAATATTTTTCATGACATTTCCAGGGCTGGAAATCACAATGGAAAGTAATATATGTTTAATATAACAATATCATGAAAAAGCTAGTATAGCTAGAAAAATGTATTTCAAAACCATACACTACCATTCAAAACTTGTCTATAAGATTTTTTTATATTTTTTAAAGTTTATTAGGCTCATCAAGGCTGCATTTTTTTTTTACAGTAAAACAGTAATATTGTGAAATATTATTACAATTAAAAAAAAAAACTGCTCTATTTATATTTATAATATATTTATTATTATTCCTGTGACGGCAAAGCTGAGTTTTCAGCAGTCATTATTCTAGTTTTCAGTGTCACATGATCATTCTGATATGCTGATTGGATTCTCAAGAAACATTTCTTAATTTTATCAGTGCTGAAAACAGTTGTTCTTGTTATTTTCAAGATTCTTTGATAAATAGAAAGTTTAAAAAATATATTTAATATAGAAATCTTTTTGTATGTCTTTACTGTCACTTTTTATTTAATGTATCCTTGCTGTATAAAGTATCCATTTCTTTAGAAACCAAAACAACAAAACTTACTGACCCCAAACTTTAAAACACAATAACATTTTTCAATATACAGTATATATATTTTGTAGATATACTCTAAAATTGCTGGTTATGAGTACTTGTGTAACGCTTGCAAGCAATCCACTGTAATCAGTCTGTTGAATTTAATATCCTGAGTGATTCATTGGTCTGCAGGGTTACCCGCTAATAACTATTTCCTAAGGGACACAGAGCTGCCTTACTGGAGAGGCTGATTTGAGTATTCATAGAGTATCGTATTTAAATCTCAACTCATTTTTTTGGCTTAGAGACGTTTGTATATTAAAAGATTGATTGTTTAACCTTAAGGTTTAGGTCATTGGTAATTGTTTAAACATTCCAAGGAATGTTAATTGACATAGAAATGAAAAATACCTCCGCAATCTCTACAAACTGATCTTTAGAAATATATTTACAAACACCTAGACAAGTCATGGAAAGTAATCGGTCAAAAAGTGATTGATCCACATGTCAGCGTAATGATGTGTCGTGTTCAGATCCACCAATCACAGAACAACCAGTTCAACATGCATGTGCACGTGGAGTATGAGTGGAAACTCCGGCAAGATGACCTTTACGAGAGTGATGAGGACCTAGATGACAAGGTAAAAACATAAGAAGACTACACCTCCCATAACTTAATAGAACAGACTTGTACAGTATATAGTGCTAATAAAGCATAATACAAAAGACATTATATTTGTGTATCATGCAATTGATTATCCGGTGTTTAACAGTGATGGTCCATATTTGTAGATGGGCCCAGTGAAGAAGGAGCGCTTAGGAAGGCCATTCAGCTTGTATCACAGTAGCTCCGCCTCTCACGGTGGAGGAGGAAGTAGTGGAGGGGGGCTGTTCAATGTGGGTCGGAGGCTGGCAATGGCCCGGGGAGAAAACCGGAGGGATGTGTACGACAGTCCCAACTCTCAGACACGCAGCATCGACAGTCCCCCTCCGCCACCCCCTTCATCGCCCGCACCGCCACTGCCACCTCGAGTCAGAGGTGGGAAACTTCTCTTCTCTTCTCTTCTCTTCTCTTCTCTTCTCTTCTCTTCTCTTCTCTTCTCTTCTCTTCTCTTCTCTTCTCTTCTCTTCTCTTCTACAGTCTTGTTTACTCTCCTCATGTCCTTTCCAGCTCCAAACATCCCCCCTCCTCCCCCTCCTATGAGCTCACCTGATGACTGGACGTCCCATGAAGTGAGCAGCAGTAAGAAACGAACCCCTCCTCCCCCTCTCGTCATCCGACACAAGCGCACCTACTCTGAGCCTGCCCCTCAGGTGCCCCCCAGCCCCCACTCTACACGGCAGGGACCAACAGGTACGTGACAAACCTGGATGATGCATATTAGATGGTCCCCATATTTGTAAAAACCTGGAAATATCCGGGAATTTAAAAATCCTACAAAAGGCCTAGAATTCCTTACAATAATGGAAAAGTCGTCGACATGATGAATATAGTGAATATAGTTTTTACTATAAGAAAGTGAGTATACAGAATTGTTTGCTTATGTTAAGCTACTATAAAGTTAGTTTAAAAGAAATAAATGAATTGGAATACATCTATATTTTTTTGATCTTCATCAACTCATCACAAATGTCTGAAAAGGCATGTAATTTCACTGGTCAATAGGTGTAAGATCCCTGCATACATAATTTATGGTCATGTTTACAAGTTATATAAATATATAATTCTTGTGTACAGATTATGGAGTACCTGCAGGTGCGAGAAGCTTCGGTGGTCCAGACTCACCTTTCCAGAAGTGTGTGTAAGTGCTGTGCACTGCTGGAACTCCCACCCCCCCTCACACACATTAAAGCAGGCAAATAATAATTTAGCAGATTAAAGGTACTTAAGAAACTGCGTTTTTTTACTGTGAGTAAAAATTGGCTTTGGCAAGTAAAGGAACAGAATTACTTAGCAAAATTACTTACTTGACAGGTAAGTTACCTACTCAAGAACCTACTGCGCTACACTGTCATGATTACACTTTTACAGTAAACTACATTGTTTATATACAATACAGTACAATGCAAAACAAAATATTGTGTCATTAAACATTTAAAAATAAAGTCTCTTATGCTGGCTGCATTCAATTTTTTTGATTACCAATACACTAAAACATTAATTTTTTTAATAAACATAAAAATATTATTACAACTTGTATTAAATTAAAAAATATATATATAATTTATTTTAAAATGTAATTTATTCCTGTGATGGCAAAGCTGAATTTTCAGCAGCCATTACTTCAGTCTTCATTGTGGCATGAACCTTCAGAAATCATTCTAATATGCTGATTTGATGCTTAAGAAACATTTCTTATTATCAATGTCGAAAACAAATTGTGCTGCGTAATATTTTTGTGGAAAAAGTGACTTTTTTGTTGAATAGAAAGTTCAAAAGAACAGCATTTTAAAAACAGAAATATTTTGTAACATGGTCTTTACTCTCACTTTTGAACAATTGCTATAAACATCATCATTAAATGTATAATCAGATATATACAAACCACCTACTCAAGAACCTACTGCGCTACACTGTCATGATTACACTTTTACAGTAAACTACATTGTTTATATACAATACAGTACAATGCAATACAGAATATTGTGTTGTTAGTAACACATACTGATTGTAAGACTTTCTATTTCAGCTCAGGGTCTCCCAAATACACCACGTCCACTCTCAACTCCTTATCTGAGCTACCAGAACGAGGTATATAACTATAACTGTCCAGATATCTTTCCACTATATTGGTTTCAGTTAAGTTGTTTTGCATATCACAGCTCATGGTTTTGTGTCTGTAATCTCTCTCAGCAGGCTTTCGAGCAGATGGGGAGAGCAGCTCGTCTCACTTTCTGTACCAAACCCCACAGCCCATCAGCAGTGGCGGGCGGCACACCCCGGCCCTGTCCCCCACCTCCCCACGCTCCTTCAGCCTGGAGGCTAACGGCAGCTCCTCTTCCTCCTGCCACACTGCTCCTCACCCACTGCCCAGAAAAACCCTGGTGAGAACAGCATGAACTGGAGAGATGAATATCATATTGCTCACATGTTGTTCTTTCATAGCTAAGGAGTTTTAATGTTCTAAGTTTCATTAGTCTTTTTTGTCCCAGATGTTTCTTCTGAAGTTTCTAAAGGAGAAATAAAAAAAATATATCTACTTCACTTGGGTCTTTTTTCTTAGAAGAAAATCTAAGCAGGAACCTGAAAAAAATCATCTCATTTAATTTGGATCAGTCCAATTTTTTTATGTTTTTGTCATGCTCACCAAGGCTGCATTTATTGGATCAAAAATGCAGTAAAACAGTAACATTGTGAAATATTATTGTTTTATCAGCTACATTTTTTAGCACCCAATACTCCAGTTTTTATTGTCACATGATCCTTTAGAAATCATTGTGTTTTGCTTCTAACTTCACCTTCACCAGCTGTTTTGCATCAATCAATCTACCAGCACCAAACCGGCTTAAACCAGCCTGTATCCACATGGGAATTAGTGCTGGTCTGAGCTGTTTTTTTCTGCAGGGTTTGGAGGAGTGCTATTTTACTTTATTTGTCTTTGGCTTTTGGAAAGTCAGAGTGATGCAGACATTTCTTGACATGTTCCTCATTCGTGCGATTTCCCATCAACAAATTATTTGAAAAGAAAATCAATATTGGCTAGAAGCCACATGGTACAGTTTTTGCAACTTCTTGTTATTGTTTTTGTGTTCAGATGAAGTCGAAGCTGAAGCGTGTTAAAGCCATGTATGACTGTGTGGCGGATCATCACGATGAGCTCAGCTTTAATGAGGGTGAGGTTCTGGTGGTTCTCGGAGAGGAGGATGCTGATTGGTGGGTGAGTATAAGAATGAAAGGACAATTCATTTGAGATAAATTACAAAGAGAGATGCATGAAACTAGCACAACTATGTAGGAAATTAATTTCCTGGGACAGTTGTCAGTTGTACAGTTTAGTAGCCATAATACAAAAACATTTTCAGAATGATGAGGTTGACCAATCAGTATAAAACATTCCAGAGAGCAATGTAAAAATGGAATTATTAAGTCATGACGTCAGTTTTGAGGCCAATGTGGACAGCTTATTTGCCATGGGTCCCCTTCGGAATGTCTGATATGTTTTTAGTATTAGATCTATGAAGAAAAAAAGCTCTGTGGGTAAACCTCTTATTAGAAACGGTTTTAAATCCATTGTGTGCTTTTTAAATGTAAGTTGCTAAAAAATCCTACCTAAGGATCAGTGTTATTTTAGTATTACATACTATTATAGTATTTATTAATATTTTAATTCTTATATTTTCATTTTAATTTTAGCTTAAATGTTAGTAATTTTGTTATCTGCTTTTGTCATTTTTATTAGATTTAGTCAATAAATACGTACAGTGGGTACGGAAAGTATTCAGACCCCCTTAAATTTTTCACTCTTTGTTATATTGCAGCCATTTGCGAAAATCATTTAAGTTCATTTTTTTCCTCATTAATGTACACACAGCACCCCATATTGACAGCATTTTTCATTTTTTATTTCCACTTGTCCTTCTGCTCTTTGAAGTATTGTTGGCATAAATGACTCAAATTCCTTGTTACGCTTAAAGATGGTTTTGATGAGGAAGCTGCAGGGTTAATTTTTCATTTTTTATTTCCACTTGTCCTTCTGCTCTTTGAAGTATTGTTGGCATAAATGACTAAAATTCCTTGTTACGCTTAAAGATGGTTTTGATGAGGAAGCTGCAGGGTTCTTGTTAGCCTTTGACAGACTCATGCTGTGTGTGCAGACGAGTCTTACGATCCCATGGGAGCAGCTAAATAAATAACTGATCAGAGCAAAGCTCTCAGGGTCCATGTTTTATTCTGCTCTGCTTCCATATCTGAGTCAGAGTGCCGCCCATACGTCTCCAGCGGGCTTGCCTAATATCCTGCAGATTCTTCTACAGGAAAAATAGCCTCTGGATGGCCCATCAAAAGAATACATTTCATGTAGATTCATAGAGAGACACTTGGCATGCAGGAAAGAGTTTTTAAAATGAAATGGATCCTGTTTTGCATCTTATTTTAAACATCTTCACACGTCCCACATCTTTTGTGTTCGCCTCATTCCCTTTTCATTAAAGACTCACAGCCCTTGTTCATAACATTACTTCCTTTATAATTTCCGCCCCTTCGTTTAATTGAATTTAACATCCTTCCTTCCGATGACTTTAACCAGAGCCAGTAATATCTCCCTTTCAGCACGGCTACGTCGAGGGACAGTCAGGCAGAATGGGCTTATTTCCAGCATCGTTTGTCTCTATGGTTGCTGAATGAAGCTGGCCAACGGAGCTGAAATCATAGCACGGTCTACTCTACTGCCAAAGCACCCTGGGAAATGAGGGGTTTGAAGTCTATCCACAGAACCATCGGTAATGAAGAATCAGCATAACAAAGCAGCACTCACAGGCCCGTCTGCAGCACCAAGAGAGATGGGATATGTGGAGCACTTTGTGCTGTGCACAAAACTTCTCATAGTTTGGTTCTACAGGCCCCTCAGATATGAGAATCATGCCCTCCTATCCATCCACAGACCAGCCTAGCCGAACGCTCATAGAGTAAAATCTATCATCCTGTACGCTCCTAAAAGTGCTCCAAAAGCACACACAGCATGAACTGCATGTCATGTTACATTGAACTGAACTCAAATGTGAAGAATCATATATGCCAGATCACAGAATCGTATTGAAAAAGTATAATGCTGAGATTGTGCTGCTATTCAAAAAATGGAGAACAGCTTTAAAGCACAATCCTTTGCAACAGGGTAACTGTGTGAAAACGTAATTCATTCAGAAAGCAAATCAGGAAAAAACAAATGAATTATGAATGTTGTGTGTTTGGGTGAATACAATATCCAGGTCATATTTCGCCTACATTTTAAAGAACAAACTTTTTTTTTTTTGTACCAAGAATTATTATTTTTTCAACATTTAAGCACATTTCCCTCCAAAATCTCAGTTTTTAAAAAATTATATTCCAAGTTTGAAATCTTATTTCCATTACTGTATTAAATACTGTAAACAGTATTTTTTTTAAAGCAGGGAAAATACTACCATAATGCTGGTATACAAGTATACATATGTTTGCATTAAAGTGATTAGAATGAGATTGTTTCACATTACAGCAACAATTTGGGAAGAAAGGTGCTTTAAAAATATATAAAAGTTGTAATAAAACTGTAATGGTCCTGAAACATTTCTTTTCTTTATGCTAAACAAAAGACATGGACATGTTTGAGAACAGGAGATTGTGAGATCACCCATTTATTGTTCTATTGTTTCCATAACTTCAGATGAAATAATCACTGAATAAATGGTTAAGTGGTTTATTGAAAACAGACCACAGATTAATCACAGGTTCACACAAAACATCATGAACATAGAAGCTTACAAAGATGTGCACACACCACGCAATTTGGCCATTACAATGGGATCGAACCATCACATTCAGCTGGACAGTCTTTGAATATGAGCTAACTCCTTAAAGTGCTTTGAGAGTCGAGAACTACTTGTGGCAGAAGGCAATTTTTTAAAATCATGTCACACCCAGGGAATATTAAATCTGCGGTCACATGTTGAATCTGACTTGTAAACAAAACCATAAAAAGTCATTTGGCCACAGCTTTTCTTGACATTACTGCTCAATATCTTGGACTCCTCCTAAATAATCTTTCCAGCAGGGAGGTGGAATAAATATTCAATTTTAATTGGTGAGATGTTTCTCTACTTGCATTAGAGGACCTTATATAAATATAAACCGTCATGCATTAAAAGTTGAAATTGTGGTTTTTACTTGTTAAAGAACCTGATCGGAAAACTAGTGCATTGTGAGATATTTATGTATTGTGCTACTCATTAAAAAATCGGCTTGTATGTTTTTCTGTATTTTTTATTTATGCAGCAAAATCAAATATTTTTTATTTTTAATACGGTCCTGGATGCCCTAAACTGTGACTTTTGAATTCAATTAATTTTTATTGTTTATGCTTTGCTTCTGTTTCTAAATATATTGTTAAAACACACTTCAATGTCTGTTTCTTTCTAAATTTTGTCCAAACTATAATTCTTCAATGATGATGCCTTGATTTGAGTGTTCATAATATCTCTTCTCCACACGAACTCTGTAAACCGTGAAAGCCACTGATTGACATGAAGCAAAGAATGCAAAGCCAAAATACATTCGAGAACAAAGTCACAGAACAAATGACAGCTTGATAACACTTGGCGACAAATATTGAAATTTCAGCTCAATTTCAATCTTGTCACAGTCCTTAAAACAGTTCACAAAAATGCAAACTAGAAAAGGGGGGGAGAAACAACATCTACCACTTGTAATTTAAACTATAAAAAAAACAGAGATCGATTGTAATTCAGGAAAAGAATGATAATGGTTCAAAGACGTATGATATGAAATACAGCATGTTCTCTATCCAGAACTGTTAAGTCACAAGACAGGTTGTTTAACGAGTGCACCGGGTCATTTCAAGACCACTGAGATGGTCTCTATGGACGGCTTTGGTCTAAAGGTTTATAATGATATTAAACATGCAACACAAAAACAACGCTCCCACAGCAAACACACTCTCAACTAGAATCTAGAATGTGTTTTCTCAGCTCTATGTGACAAATACATCTCCCAGCAAGTGTTTTGAGTATATTTAGCTGATTTCAATGCCAGGATGGTTAAATTAGGACAGAACTTTGAGGTGAGAAAAGTCCTTAAAATCAACACGAAATGTGTGGTGACTTGAACAATGTAAGTGCATCTCTGTAACTGTCTGAGGTGAAATCTAAAACAACAATTGTGAAAGTCTTAAAACACTATTTAAACTAATTTATGACTTTTAAAAATATATTTATTGCTTATTTGCTATTTTAAAACCTTATAATCCACAAACTCATCTAAAAAGCTTTAATGCACTGCAGGTTGAAGTTAGAAGTCAACATGAAATTTAAACTGACCTTGTGTACTTTAGTTCACCCAAAAATGAAATTACTGTCATCAATTTCTCACCCTCATGCCGTTCCAAACCTGTATGACTTTAAAAATATAAAGTCAATGGGGTCCAATATTGTTTGAAGCCCAATGTTCTCCAAAATATCTTCTTTTGTGTTGCAAAGAAGAAAGAAGACTATCCCTTTAATACTGGACTCATATTGCATGATATATCATTGCGTGTTATCTCAAAGAAAATTGTCTTCATAATCTTTCAGCAAGACTTTCCTTTCAGCTGACGTCAAACTCTCCAACCAATCACCAGATGGTCTCATCTGGTATTTAACACCAACTTTTCATGATCCAATCAACTACCAATGATAAAAATCAAGCCCCACCCCTTTCCTCATAAAATATTCTGTTGCACTAAAAAAAACAGCTTTGTGTTGACTTTAAGGCTTTAACACCCTGAAAACTACCTGCAAGCGATTGCCGCTGATGATCAACATCTTTCTTGCAGTGTAGACAGCTTTTTTGATTATACATGAAACTAGTTTTGTCATGTTGCAAACTTGCAGTGCAGACACTGTGAGAGGCTAGACAGAACAGTTGCAATAAGAAAGAAGTACACAAGGAGGCTCAGATCAAGCTGTTTTGCTTACTTTTCGTCTTCTTCAAAATTTCAATGCCTGACTTGGGAGGAAGGCAACATCCGTCTTTTTCTTCAGGCACGTAGCAAGTAAAATGCTGTGAGAGAACAGGAGGAGTTCATTTGGTCTTAGGACTAGAGCTTGATGTCTGTGGGTTTGGTTTCAGTGCAGTTCACAGTGGTCAATTAATGGTACGGCGGATCACAGATCTGTGTCTCTTTGGCTTCCATACAGCTGCTGTGCATCCTGGCCCTGCATTTGCATGGCTCTGAGCTGTACCAAATCAATAAAGGCCACAATTACAGGCTCATCTGTACAGTTTGATTTTGCCCTCTTTGTTGAGCCTCTGAATGATCTCAGTCTCGAAATCTGCGTTATGGACGCCCGTCTTTCGAAAGGCGCCGGCATTTCTGTTGTACTCCCAATAGTGGTGCCAGTTTCCTTGCTTGTCTGCCCCATATCCAAACACTGACACCTGTTGAGATTGAACATCATAACTGTAAATAGTATAGTGACGCAGAAATGATTATCTTGGCTGTAAATCAAGTACAAACCTCATCACAGAGATGCAGAGCAAACATAATGGCTACCATCCCGGTGGAAGGGTACCTTCCATGACGCTCTGTCCATTTGTCATGCGTGTACTTAAAGAAGGCTGGATTTACAACTATCACCTGGACGGGACACATGGGAGGATGAGTTAGGCTTAACAGATGATGCATTTATGGATTTACAAGCTTTAGCATGATTTACACTGACCTTGTCTTTGTCAGCTTCCACAAGATTTTTCACTCTCATGTACGTCCTGTTTGGGATATATTTAGTTTTAGTGAAAACAATTAAGAAAAATTATTTTGGAGTGATTTTGCTTAAAATCTATGTTGCACAATTTTCAGAGAGATTTTGACATACATTTTGATCTCTCCTGTGGAAAGAGCGCTGGATAACCACTGCATGTCTTTCAGTTTGAAGGGAAGAAGGACGAGATGGACACCAGGTCTCAGATCGATCGCACTCTCTGGGTACATGAAGTGGTGGGTGGTTTGGTTACCAACATCCTCTTCAAAACCCACAGTCACGGCCTTATTCATTCTGTGGGACGTTCCAGTCGAAATGCATTAGTAAAAAAACTCACTTGCACTTATCGGTTTTTCTCCAAAAAAATAATAAATTATAATTTTCATGAATTTGTTCACGTTTCACTCTCAGATACTTTTAAAGTCAACATGAATCAGTTTAACATTTTAATTACTTCCTGTTTTTTTGTTTTTTTTTAAAAAGTGAAACTTTTTTAAACAAACACAAAAAATATATTTAAAAAAATGTCTCAGTGTTGTTTTGTCCATACAGTGAAAGTCATTGGGGTCCAAGGATGTTTTAGACCCCTTTGACTTTCATTGTATTGACAAAAAGATATCTTTCAAATATGTATCAAAATATTTTTTTGTGCGGTGTAATTGCTGAATTTTAATTTTGGGGGGAATTATCTTATTAGAAGTTTAGCCCAAACATACAAAGAGCATAAAACACACCTAATAACAACTGAGTGGGAATCTATCAAGGCTCCGTATTTGGACCTCAACAGATTCCCTGAGTTTCCAACAACTGCACACTTCTGGCACTGGTTCTGCCGTGGCATTTCGTCCTCAGGTGGAGGGGAAATTATCTTATACATCTTCTGGGTGACGTCCTTGATCATTCCATCAGATGACTGCAAAGACTATACAAAACAATATCATAAATAAAACTCATAAAGCTAACCTCCAAATTTCAATCTACTAATCTTTACATCTTTAATGTTAAAAGGGAAGATATTTTGGCTATCCCAACTATTCCAATCTTATTGTACATGCAGAAAATAGTAGGGGTGGGAGGAAAAAACAATGATTCTGCAATGCATCGCGATTCTCTCTTCAACAATTCTGAATCTTCGAAATTTTCAGAATCGATTCTGAGCTAATTTTTTCCCACATATGTGGTATGGCACTTGTATACACTAGAGACCGTTTGCTGCCAATAACACAAACACACACACAAAATATCAAATAAGTATAAAAACTTGCATAAAGTTTCATGGTTGAAGTGAGAGAAACGTGCAACTTGCTTGACAAAAGTAGCCTACTTATAGAAGTAATTTAATTTAATGAAAATGCACATATAAATTTGATATTTCGAGTTGGTAAACTAATTAATAATAAAAGAGATTGTGAGGTGCCTAAAGATTCCCACCCCTAAAATGTAATCTTCCAGTTGACTTGCCACATCTCTTCCATTTGTTTTATTAATGAAAGATATTGAAAGTAAATTCATTATATCTTTACAAATACTTTGCTTTGAAAGTACCCAGTTGTCAAACAGTGAGAAAAAAATCCTGTATAGAAAAAAAGATGCATCTAGATGTGTAGATAATCATTTTATCATCGCATCGCAGCCCTCTGAATCGTAATCCAATCAAAGGCGCCTAGAGATTTCACTACCTGAAAATACTGCCCAACGTTTCTGTGCCATGTGAAAACTCAAGACGCTTGAGGAACACCAATGTCAAGCTCATCCGAGTGTGTTCTCATAGCCTGCAAAAGCCTGAAAGCCTTTAATTAGGCTAAATTAAACCTTACTGAAACACATGGCTGGGCCGAAGGGCCTATTTCTGACCTTGTTCCCCTGGGATAATTACTTTTTTGTTTAAGAAAACCAGATAATGACTGCAGCTCTGGGGATCTACCGCCATTGCATTAATGATGTTTGGCAAACAGACATGATGGTAGTAAGTGAACTTGAGAAGGTCTGGAATGAATACAACAGCTGTTGTCTTTCCCTGATGTGTCCATGTGCCAGAAAGGGGAAATGATATCTACAGCTATGATGATATGACTTTAGAGGCATGCCTGAGAATCCCAAGAGCTATTTTGTCTCGTAGAGAGGCAAATGGCTGTCTATAGACTATAAAATGAATCTAGGAACAAATCCAACATTAGCTGTCCCACTCATTGCAGAAAATATATTTTGAGTTTTTTTGTCCAATGATCATGTATTTATCTGATCATCAGTTGATATAATATTATATATTTATAGTATTAATATAAATATTTATATTAATAATAATAACAACAACAACAAATTATATTACATTTAATATTTTTATTGTATATTGTATTTTATATATGTGTTCCTGTGGCGCAGCGGTAGAGCATTGCGTTAGCAGCCCAAAATGTAGTGGTAAAAAATGTATAGCCTGAATGCACTGTAAGTCGCTTTGGATAAAAGCATCTGCTAAATGCATTATTTATTTAA